CTGTGATAAGGTTATTTTTATTGAAGGAGGCTTAACTCTCTCAAGATCGCAAAATGATAAAACTTAACATTTGATAACATGTTTCCGTCACTACGAAAATTTTCACTGGTAGTAGAATGACGATGGCTGTCACGTTTTCTCGCCAAAACCTGGTTCACGCTCGCGCAGTTCGTATCATTGAGAAAATCTTGTTCCTGTAGTCTTCCTCTTCGTAGCGTCTAAAGGTATCTAATTTATTTTCTCGGCAATTTTTTCTGTCGTTTCTCTGGAAAATAATTGCGCAAAATGATTAAGTTGATGGCTGTTCAGGAGCTGGGACGTGTATGCAAGGAGGGCATTAGTCCTTTTTCTCTCAACAGTGGCCAACTGGTGTTAAAATTCATAATAAATGTCAAATTTCTTTTTCCAAATCCAAGGATGCAAATCACTGTACAAAAGCCTACCAAAGTGGTCTCATTTGAATTTGAACACCTAGAATTTCAGTCCACAAATTCAGGCAAAAGTGAGACTGTCATCTAGCCATTTATTGTTGTTATTAATTTTAACTTGACACGCAAGTAGATATATACGAAACCAGTCAGTCACTCAATTACAGTATTTATTCGAATAAGGGCTCAACCTTGAATTAGCGCCCACCTCGAATAAGCCCCCAGCCTCGAATAAGCGCCCACCCCACGCCACCCGCTTTCCCCTCACACCTCCCAAAAATTGAATAAGTACTAATAAGAGACTTCCCCGAAGACGGAGTTTTCTTCAGAGTATTTTACAGAATTAATTATAAAACCTTGCTTTGTTACATCTTCGCGTTTTGTTTTTACTATTTATTGTTTTTCTGCAAAATAAACATACTGCACTTGCTGAAATGAAAATTTAATAAGCGCCCAGCCTTGAATAAGCGCCCAGCCTCGAATAAGCGCCCACTCTCAAGGTCCAAAAATTTAATAAGCGCCCAGGGCGCTTAATCGAATAAATACGGTAAGTTAATGAAAAAAAAAAAAACTATGACAACTGGAAATCATGTTAGAAGTGCATGTCATTGTGGTTACTTCAAGCTCGGCATCAGTAAATTTCTACTTAGCAACAGTGTATTGTCGTTCTAAAACCTGCATATTAATTGGCTATCACCCACTACCAATCAATGATTTTTAAAATCACAAAAAAATGCTCGTATATTTGCCATAGTACCAATGGAATTTTACTAAAAAAACAGCTAGCAAGGTGCGTTCTTGATTCAGTATATCGGCTTTGACACGATTGACTCAGCGGGGCTGCGTCCATCTTTAACTATTCGAGTTTGCCTTCTAATTGTCGATCTTCAACCTAAGTCATAAAGAGTGTTGCTAAAGTTTTTACAGGTGACAATTCTAATGTGTAGTTGGTCTACAACAGAAGCCAAATTGCTTTTGGTTTACCTCCTGGTCTACTCAGTAAAATCCTCAAGAAAGTTGTGGCCGGTCATGAGGCCCGGTCATGATGTAGGGGATGCGTTGATTGTCATAGTCCTAACTTTTAAATAAAGAGGTTGCTTCTAAAGTACTGTGTTGATGGGGGAGTGGAAGACAAAATTAGCTAGGTTTCATCAGGTGAAATCATGATTAAAAGAAGCTATTATTCATCTTAAATAAGCCCCGGCTAATTCTTCATAAGCAACCGGCGTTGACCAAATTTGAAAGGATGCAAGCAACATACCATCTATTCGATGGTTAATCATAACTATAACAAAATCCTCAAATCTGATTGGCTTTAATTAACTGCCCTGATTTCAGCCTTAATAGGACAGTTTAATAGGACAGTACGCGTGATGCCTAAGTAATTGGACAGTACGCGCCATCACTCGCTCGCTTCAATGGCTTTTTTTCTCTGCTCGCAAAAAAAAAGGTCTTGGAATTTCTTGTGTTTAAATTTAAAAAAAAGAGCCTTATATATCACAAATTTTGTTAAAGTTATGATTAAATGGTGGCAGAACTTCGTGTCCTCCAATTCGGTCTGTAATCATACTCGTGATTAAACAAATCGAACGACCGCTGATTTTGTTAATCACTCGTATGATTACAGGACTCCACTCAGTCCTGTTACTATTAAATATTGACTTGGAAACGAGGTTGATCGATAATATAATTAGTTGAATGGGTACGAAATTGCAGGGCAATAGACAATCGATCAACCTCTTTTCCAGGCCCAGATGCCTAAAGTAATCTAAAAAATGGCTTTGCAAGAATACGCAAAACATTTGCTCGATGGATGTTACGTACTTTTTGAGAAATATCTGCAAGAAAAATCATCCAGTTTTTATATCCTGAAACCGGACCGAGAATAGGCCAAATATTTTGAATGAATAATAAAACAATTATTGAATTTGGCTTTCTCATGATCGAAAAATTATGCAGATCTCGGAGGATGTTATCCACCTCGACCGTCAGCCTCGGTGGATAACAGTCTCCTCGAAAACATAATTCTTCACATCCTTCTTAGCCTCGTTCAAAAATTGCTAAATATTCTACCTTTAAGATTTTTCTTAACCAGAGTAAAACACTCTTTGACAAAGAACATACCGCTAGGGACATGGGACGTCATACAAAAAGGCCGCTATCTTGGATTTTTCTGAAAATTCATATTTGAACACGTTTTGTTACGATAGTTTGAGACTTTTATTTAAAGTACACAAACTATCTTAAAATCCTATCCTATCTTGAAATTGAAAGACGGAGCGGTATTCAACAATTTCGCATAGTTGAGAGAAATATTACGCGGGTAATGTGAGTTTAAAACAACGATTTTTGAAACGTGCAGGCTATATTTTCCAAAATGCAGGCACCATTACTTCGCAAAAGAATTGGGAGTCAAGGATATTTTTTCTTGCTTGAGGCCTAAAATGTGTTCCCATCCTGTTTCGCTATGAAAACTAGAGAAAAAATAGTCCAGTCTAAGTCAAGGGCTGAATGGGTGTTAGTGCGGCTGTGGTGGGTTACGATGGCTCTTCCAAGAAGCTGAAAGTTTGAGTCTTTAAGCCAAGAAAATTCATTATACTGGGATGATATACTGGGATGAGTAATAAAGCGAAAATGCGGAAAAGTTGTTGACAGCTCTAGAGGCGGCCTAATTAAATTTTAAACTATTTTTTAATACAGGGTAAAGTTTGCTTATCACAACTGATGTTTCCCAGGGTACCTAAAGATCACGTTTTGCTAATAACATAAAACTGCAAAATATTCACGAATCTCGTCTACAGAATTTCATTTGTTTTTACTGCCTGTGTAATTACTACCGATAACAGAAAAAAACTGCAAATTACTGATGGTTTGCATGGCAGCAATGAAAAAAAATTAGTTTAAATTGCAACTTGACTTAATAAAGCCAAAAAATAACCGAACTTTTGAAAATGAATTTTCATTTTTGTGACACATGTCCTTGTTTACGAAAAGTTCTATTAAAATTTCTGAAACGTTTAAGAACCTGTCTCTACGATATCCTCATTAAACGCCTCGTCATCTCATGATCATCCAATTCAATTTTTTGTCATCTGGGACTTTTTGAGACAATCTGCTCCTCCATTGTTTTCTTCGCGAAAATCTATTATAAAAAATGAGAAATGAAGATAAATCGTCAGAGTTCCAAAAACGGTGATTGATAATGAGGTAAGATCTGATGCACCCAGTTTATATTCAGTTGAGTAGTAGTCGTTGTATTATGGCTTTTGTCCAAGAATTTTAGGACCCCATTTTACCTGCGCCCGCCGATATGAAATTAACAGGTGCATACAATGTAAATTTTTGCCGTAACAATTCCTGGTTTTCACTGTCACGCCATCGTCCAATAGATTAACTCTCGAATCTAGGAAATGAAAGGAGGTAAATATGCAAAGACCCTCGCCAAAATTCTGGTCGGTACAATTTTTTGTATGTGAGATATTCACAGAAATGATTTACCTAAATTTATATAGCTTTGTGTAGAGACGCTATGTTTGTACCCATCCCGGGATGTGCACTTTTAACATGGCGACCGGAAACCAGCGGAAACATCTGTCACTGAGATTTCCAACGAAACCGCCAATTCATCGATAGAGAAACTAATACACATTAAAAGTAATAAATTTTATAATAAAAGGACTATATATTTAGATAGCAAAAGCTCCCAAAATAAGGCACAAATTAAACCTTTATGACAGCTCTCTTGGCCGCCATGAAATACTGCGTCAAGCAAAAGCTTGGAATTGCACTGATTATAATTAAACATGATTGCTAACTTTCTTTTTCTTTTAATATTTTCTCTCTATCAATTACTTGAGGATTTGAGAAAGCTAATGACCAGAAGCGAATTGATCATTTAGGCTTGAAAAGATACTAATAATCAATTTCACTTCCTGATATTACAGCTTAATCGAAAATCAGGGACATAAAATTGTAATAGAATTGAGCTACAAATCGAAAATGCAAATGCTGATTTTGGAATAAATTTATCTAGAATAGGGTAAGAAATTTATGAAGAACAGCAGCGATAATATTGGTCATGAGGAGTGTTTGGAATGTTGATGTCAGGAGCAGGTCGATTTTTGACGATACATTTTCGCATAATACCAATTTTCGCAAAGGTTAACATGTGCCAAGTTTGACAAGAAGCTAGTATGGTTATACGATCAGTTTATTAACTTGATATAATTGAAGGTGGAATCCTATTATATGAGCGAGATAATAAAATCTCTCGCAGAGTTTCGGGCTTGAAAAACACAAATTGCTGAACTTGTAATTTTTTTAAGAAAACGTTAAGTGGATGTTAAAACACGGCCATTATTTTAATTTTTTGTTATTCCCAGATCCTGCAGATTTATTGTATAAACAGACAATAGGCTAACAAAGAATATCCCATTACAGATTGTGCAAATTTTTAGCCGATTCCACGGCTGTTAGGTTACACGCCGACGCAAGAACATGTAAATATACATTCAAACATTGGCAATTGCGAAAACGACAAGGAAAACACGGATAAGATCCTAAACTTCACTGATGACTTCGAATGCTGCTCTTGAGGGAACCGTTGGGATGTCTTGTAAGTTGTTGGTAGAGTTCATATGCATATTGATTTTAAATATTTTGATCTCTGCTTCGACTGGACAGTCTTTCAACTCCTTTGCACCAAAGCGAGCACAAAATATCAAAGGAGACTTCATCATCGGCGGCTTATTTCCAGTGTTCTTGAGCGAGAAAAACACAACAAAATGCTACGATAACAACAGACGTTTTCAACAGTTTAAATCCCTACGCGGACACAAGTTAAATTGTTACAGGATGAACGTGTTCGGCCTGATGTGGGTGGAAGCGATGCTATTCGCAATTGAAGAAATAAATAACAGTACAATAATACTCCCGAATATAACGCTTGGTTACGATATAAGGGACACTGGAAACGAGGTTCAATTCGGCATGGAAGCTGCCCTGGATTTTTCTTCCGGATTTGAAAAGCCCAACAAAGGATCCCATTCAAACAGAACACAGTGCTATAATTCGTCAGTCGTCGCTGTAATTGGTGGAGCGGGCTCGAAAATATCAAAGGCTGCGGGTTATATCCTGGGTGTATCTTCGATTCCACAGATAAGTTATTCATCAACAAGTCCCTCCCTTAGCATCAAGTCGAATTTTCCCTCGTTTTTAAGGACCATCCCACCGGACTATGTGCAAGCACAGGTTATGGCCGATTTAGTGACGTTTTACAACTGGAGTTATGTGTCAACTATTGCTACCGACGAAGATTACGGAAGGCTAGGGATCGAGGCATTTAAAAGAGAATTAAAGCCGAGAAATATTTGCATATCTGTTGATGAGCTTTTTCACCCAGACTACACGCTGTCGGAGACGAAAGCACAAATCGCGCGCATAGTCAGCGCGCTCAAGGAAGACAAGCGTGCAAAGGTCGTTGTCTTGTTCTGCGAAATACCAAACGCGTTAGCCTTCTTAGAAGAAGCGGAGAGACAAAACCTAGCTGGAAAAATATGGATTGGAACAGACTCGTGGGGAGATAAGGAATCAATTCTATCGTTTAAAGACTCAACGGTGAGTGGGATGTTGGCTGTTGTGCCGACCAAAGGAAACATTGAAAAATTTGAAAAGCACATGGAAACACTGACACCCTTAACATCTAAGCATAATCCTTGGTTTGGGGATTTTTGGCAGGGGACGTATGGATGTGAACAAGAGAAAAGCAAACATCGCTGTAAAGAGAATCCCTCTATCAAAAACCTCACGGAATTGAACCAACAGAATTATACGTTGGATGACGTCATCTGTCATGGTTTCTCAGGTGATGGGCTTCCAAACGCAGCTAGTTTGCAGATGAGTAAGGCTGCAAACGTTATGGATGCAGTTTATACTGTAGCCTTAGCACTCAACGACATCATAAAGTGTAGAAAAGGAAGAGGCCTTTTGCCAAATGACGAATGTCCAAAAGTGATGAAAAACCAGAAAAACGGTGTCGACCCTTTAGATGTTTTAACATATATCAAGAACTTATCGTTCACCGGTAAACTTGGTTTTCCAATCATTTTCGACAAGTATGGAGACATCAAAGGTTTGAAAGATAAATTATTTCATTTATTTACATATATTGTTAACCCTTAAATCCCAAGAGTGACCAACATCAACTTTCTCTTAACAATATCTATACATAATTTAAAAAAAAGTTTATGAGAATAAATTAAATGATCACCTCAGGCAAAAAACCTTGATCTTTGAACAAACTCCCTCAACTAATTCTGTAAGGAAATGTTTGGAGAATTTGTATGTGGATACTGGGGTTTAAAGAGTTAAAAGTGTTCACATATAGGATATTTTTACTGCTTTTGCATCAAAAATTCTCATTTTTACCCTGAAATCATTAAACTGATAAGAACATACAAAGAACCGTGATAATGTTTAAAATTGCGTCTACACATTATACAGTGCAACCTCGATATAACGAAGGGCAAAGGGACTGGCAAAATGTGTTCCCTATAACGAGGTTTAGTTATATTGAGGTTCTTTATCATATATTTTACTATTGCTGAGGTAACTCGTTCGTTTTACCGAGAACTTCGTTATGTTAGAGGTTCGTTATATCAAGGTTCCACTGTACTCAGTCTTCAAAAACTAATTATCTACCAAACTTGGTTTCACTGGGTGCACAGTTTCTAAAAGCAAGGCGTTATTACCGCAATATTTTACATGTCAAGCAAGTCAAGAAGTTACAAACTTTATTTTCTTTTAAAACAAACGTCACCTTTCAGTGGTAAATTCTTTAAACACCAGACAGCTGAACAAATCCGATTGTTATTCACATTTTTGTGTTTATTAATTAGCATTTTAAATTTTATTCAGAATTACAGTTCTGTATCAATGTTGCGAATACAAGACTTCCGTTTTCGTAATAAATTAGCGTTTACTGATAATTCAAACATGTTTTCATACAAAATTTACTTTTAACGATTTTAGCTGGTTCATTCAAAAATAAAAGAAAAGTAATGATTTGTTCTCGATCTTCAATCACCTTGACTTTACATTAAACTTTCAAGGTCATTTTGATGAAAAAAGTCCCCACAGGAGATTATGTCAGGATGAAATACAATACGGGTGACAATCACCTGTCAACTTGCGGGTTGCCATCTTAATTCACAATATGCAATCTTCTAATATTGAATTTACGATAGCAGGTAATTCTGCAGTAGAACTGTTGTTGCGTTGCACCAGTCTAGCCTGAATTTCATCCGATTACTTCGAGTCGTTATTACTCCCTCAGTAACGTCTGAATCGACCGGCCGTTAATGCCGTCCAGTGACGTCACTACTCCTTGCTTCAATTCATGCAAAAAGTTAAACACGATTTTCAAGTGGCAAACCAAGAAATGTCATTTGGAAATGTCTGCATCATACAGAATGGCTCTACTTTTTTAGATCGTAATTCATGTTTAACGTTCAAACTACCAACTGCATGCAGTAGTCTGAACCGGTTGTAATTCCATAATCAAATTCGGTCGCAATCACGCAATGAAATAAATACACACACGGAACACTTAGTTCAAAAAACACAACGATTTGCTTTAATTGAAAAGAAGCTATTTGGTCCTTAACGAAGAAAAAAGAAAACAAGGAAGCAAGAAAGAAAAGCTAACAGAATAATTGCACCAGACGGTGAAAATACCTAGAAGGTCGAATTACAACATTGGTCTCGGAAACTTCGCATATAAACACAATCACTGCCGAAACCACAAAGCGGCTCTAAATGAAAAACCTACCGACTCTAAGCAATGATTCTTCATTCGCAGTTCAATTTAGCATTTCAGTTTTGAAGACGAGGGCAATTTTGCTGTTTACAATAAAGATTATCGAAATGTTTGAACTCCACGCAAGCAAGGAATGCATAATTATGCATAATTGTGCGAATGTTTAGACAATCAACCAATCAAAATCACTACCCGGTTTTCGGGTACTGATGACGTCACTGGACGGCATTTCAGACGTTGCTGAGAGGAGAAAACGACTCGAAGCAATCGGATGAAATTCAGGCTAGCACCAGTCAAGTTTGGGCTTTTTATATTAATTGAAAACTTTTCTCCACCATCTAGCCGATTTGCCAAGAGCAACGGTGGATGGTTGTGGGTTAGATTCCCAGCGTAGTAAAATATTTCTTCGTCTCTCATGGTTCCCCAGTTCCCTTTGCTGAGGGCTGAACCTTCCCAGCAAGGGAGGTGAGGGGAGAAATCACATATGAAAGCGATGGGGATGCTCTTCGTCGTCCTTGGGGGTAGAAATTGCAGATTTTGTTGTTTAGGACGGAAACCTATATATCCACCACTGTTTACCTCCCCTTCAGGTGATAATTTTATATTAGGGAGCTTAAGCAACGACGACGGAGACGGCAACGAGAACGGCAAAAACACAATAGGTTTAGATTAGCAAAACAACAATTTTGCACGTGCATCACGCTTTTTTGTACATTTCTTTGCCGTCACTGCACAACTACGACGTTAAACCTCCTAATTTTACGTTTTATGAAGGACGTGACCACAAGACAACGATATTCGTTTTCTTTTTGTGAACTTAGAGACAGTCTTTTAGAATTCAACTTCTAAAAAATCGCCAACAATTGACAAATTACAGGAGTTGGAATAAGAGCGATGAAGATTGAAACAACACGAATTCACGTTTTGGTTGACGTTTTTGCTGGCGTTGCCGTCGTCGTTGCTTAAGCTCCCCATTATTCAGGGCAAAAACATCAATAGACCTTTTTACCGATACGGCGGCCATATTGAATTAATCCGACTTAAGGAGTAGTATAGGATACCCAGGGCGCTTGAGCGTTTGTATTTTCGAGCGCTTTTCGGGACATTTTTTCTTAAAGTTTTCTTAGAATAAGATTGCAATGGGAAAAAAGATCCTTGTGCCGTGTTTGGATGTAATAATGATCGCCTTTTTCTAGTTTAGTATTAGAAATATGGATTTTCACTGTATTTTTCTCGGGAAAAAGGCGATCACTATTACATCAAAACACGGCACGAGGATCATTTTGCCCATTACAATCTTATTCTAAGAAAACTTTAAGAAAAAATGTCCCGAAAAGCGCTCGAAAATACAAACGAAATGTGCTCACGCCCCCTAAGCATCCTATAATACTCCTTAAATCGAATTGATTCAATATGGCCGCCGTATCAGTAAAAAGGTCTATTGCCCATCGATGTTTGACGGAATTGTTTTTGATACTTGCTATAGGTAACTACTTAGTAAAAAGCTTACAGCCTGACCCTGATCACATGCATGGCAAGAAATTCATTACGTTAGGGACCTGGAACTGGGAAAGGCGCCAGCTCCATTTCCACAACGGTACCAACATATCATGGAATGGCTGGAATCCGAAGGTTCCTTTCTCGCGGTGCAGTTCACCGTGTGCACCTGGGTTCTACAAAGTTCAGGGTGATTTGAAATGCTGTTGGAAGTGTGTTCAATGTCCGTCTGGATCAATCACAAACACCACTGGCCAATCAGCATGCTTTGTGTGTCAAGTGGGATACACCTCAAATGAGAACCACACGCAGTGTTTAAAGCTCCCAGATGTTTATCTGGAGTGGGGGTCGGTAGCCGGAAGTGTTATTTTAGCCTTATCGGGTTTTGGTTTCTTGAGCTCAGTTTTCGCGCTCGGTGCCTTCTACAAATATCGAAACAGTGCGGTTGTGAAAGCTTCGACACGTGAATACTCACTGTTGCTTTTATCAATAATATCTTGCATGTTTCTTCTACCTCTGCTCTATATAGGCCGACCCTCTAACACTATCTGCATGACGCAGCCTTTTTGTTTTGGATTAGTAATTACATTATGGACTTCCCTCATGTTGACAAAAACATTACGCCTTCTGCTGATTTTCAAAAAAAGGCTTCTACCAGGGAAGGTTGGTTTTTATGGCATTCATATGCAACTCTTACTATCGCTTGCTTTAACACTAACTGTCTTGGCTGCAATCATTCCATGGATGTTGAAATTCCCTCCAAAAGTAACACCGCACTACTTCGAGTCTCAAGTCAGCATTGATTGCGGCGACAAGGCGGACACTTTACTCACAATCATATTGGGATATTCCGCTGTACTAGCAATACCGTCGACGTATCTGGCTTATAGAGCTCGTAAACTGCCTGAGAACTTCAACGAAACTCGACTTATTGGGTTTACATTATTCACTGTGTGTGTCATCTGGATAATAGTTGTTCCGTCGTATCATGACAGTGATGTGGAAAACAGGCGCATAATTCTATGCTGTGCTCTCATAACTACGGGTTTTACCATCCTCGTTTGCATGTTTTCCACTCGTCTAAGAATTATTTTATTTCAACCCGAGAAAAACAAGACGGAACTGGTGCGAGCCAGTATGTTTGATTACACAATGCGCATGCGCAATGGATCGACCGCTGCTAAGCACCTTCGGAAAATGTCCGTAGTCACCGTTGGTACTTTTTCTGTGCCAGCCAAAGACTGTTAAACCTTCCGCTAGAAGAAGGCCTACGCGAAACACTTTAACAGTCTTTTAGATGGTTTCTAGTGCACGAATAGTAAAGAGAACCAAATGGGTAAAGCACTCAACTACAATAAGACATTTCACTATTTTGCACTTGTGGGCTTAGTATCCTAGCCTCTGAGTGGACATGAGGCTGAGGTTGACCTTCTTTTGATACAAACCTCTTTCCTTTTCTTATGGAAATTATGCAAAAAAAAATACTAGTTAGCATAAGAACAACATGATTTACATAATAAAGCAGGAAGGGCTGCATCAAAGCAAGGTCAACTCCAGCTTCGCTTCCATCTGTAACTGTAAAATGGGCTAACTGTATTTTCACCGAAAAGATAACATCCATTTTATTCAATAAATTAGGCATTTTACAATAATGATAGACGGTTTGCCAACAAGTTGTCTATCTTCCTATCAGGTTGAATGGATCGAAATGTTGTCATGTTTTAAATTGGCTATCAAAATTTTTAGCTTAATATTTACCAAAAACGGCAAATTAGGCCCATACAACCTCGAAATGAGTTAATTTATACTAAATATTTTAAGTTAAATTGATTCAAATTCCTACGACAAAACAGTTGTTGAACTGAGTTCCGGTGGGGTCAAAGTCTTTGCTAGCGTTCCTGACTCATTGTTTTAGCTAAACTGCGAAAAAGGATTCTAACCTTGAAAAAATGTATAGTGTTGTTGCCATCGTATACATTCCTTTAAATTCTAGATTAGTCAAATCTCCATTCAACAAATTTTCAAAAACTTGAAACTATACGGGTTTTACTCGCTTTTTAACTGATCTTGCTACTTTATAAACAAAACAACAGTAAGGTTCCCGCATCCTCCACATAAATGCGTTTTCAAGACGCTTTTGGTTTTCTCTACTTCAAATGTTACAGCCATGCTTTACATCCACGCGTTTTTACTGAACAGGACGAGAAAGCGTGGTAAAAGCTAAGGCTAAACGGACCAAAGCTAGGCCGTTACAATCTTTGAAAATGTGTAGTTGTGGCTGTCCACGTGCACAATGGACCTCATTAGCTTGTATGTTTTGTTTTCCCAGTAGGTTATGTGATAATACTCTAGAGAACTGTTGCATTCAAATTTCGCCTTATTCCCGTGTATATGTACGCACAATTTATTAAAAAGACAGAATCAATTAAGGTGTCTGGGTAAGTGACCACCAACCCCTCCCCTAAATCACAATTTTGCCCTAAGTGAGAAGTAAGTATCAATGTGGACTAAGGGTAAGGGGAGGGGTAGTGGTCAACCAAACAGCAATATCCTGGCGACATTACCCCTTTTAAATCTGTGGACGAATTCCTATAACCTTTCAGTTGGCAGAAACCTAGTACTATGTTTTCTAAGGAGTTTTGACCTTGGTTAAACGAGCTCAAATGCTTGTTTTTCTTTCTTCTGAACATTCGTTTATCGTCGTAATCTTGGAACTCTGGGATCGTCTTGACCCCAGATTGTTCTTAATCGCTGGTAATTTCCCAATAGAGCCCTTCATAAATTGCATCGCTAAGCACGCCGGGGAGGAGTTACGCCGTTGATCCGATCCTTGAACCGGCGATAGGTCAATACCGCTGGCCTGCTCTAATGAATAACGCCGTGTACTTTCTATAGCAGCTTGTTTCGTGTTTTTCTCAGGTCGGAAGAATATAACGCGAACTTTAGGTAGAAACAAAAGAAAAAGCATTGCATATGCGCCCACCATCAAAGCCATAATTGTGCAAATAAGGTTTCCCTTGGTAGAGGGCCAAGCATGACTGTTTATCAGAATGATTAGCCATGATGAAATGTTTGAAAACATCGCAAGAAAAATCCATTTGAATTCGGTGTATGCTGAGGGAAGTTTACGAGACTGGTACGCTAAAACACAACACGTTAGCGACAAGAAAATGTTATATCCAAGCGCAGTGACGTCGAAACCCAGATTCGCTTTACATTGTACGAGAAGAGCATCTGAAACGCTGTAGTCGTAAACGAGTTTCGGCGGGAAAATAAGAAGGTGTAAAGCGCATATCCCGAGCTGTACTATGATTAACGCGCACGTCAGAAACCCGTACCAGTAATTACTGAGAAAACGATGCTTCTTGACATTAATGGCGGAAAATATTTTGATGACGCGATTTGTCTTGGTTAAAAGAACCGACGTAATAGCTGTGTACAAAACAGCAAAGACGACAGCTCTTAGATTGCATGTGACATTGGTTGGTTGACCAATATAAAGACCGGGTATTAGAAACCAGGCGAGGAGAACGATCAAAGACAACAGGCTAAGAGTGAGATTAGCTGCTTTCACCACAGGTGTCACATGGTACCGCACAAATACACCAAGTACCAACAAAGTTAACATCTCTCCCAGGCCACAAGCTGACAGAAATATAACTGCAAGAAATTCCCCAGTTTTAATAATTATCAGCGGCTTGTCCACGCATGCGCTTTGAAGTCCGTTTGTCATTTGCTCCTTTGGGCACGCACTACACATGGTCGAGGTGGAGTTACTATTGTATGTCCCATGAGGGCACTTATGGCAGCTCCACCAGCAAACACCAGAATAGTTCTCGGTGTATGAGCCCGAAGGACAGCGTTCCCAGCATTCCGAAAAAGGGACTTCAGGCTCATTACCAGGCCAACGAATTTCACTCGCATTAATTACCAGACCTCTATGTCCGGTTGTCTTTCCGACTCGGAATGACGTTAAAGTACTATTGTCGGTGATGCGTAAGTTTAAGATGTCGAATTCTGTGTTCAATTCTCGATTTTTATTAAAAGATACATAGACGTCACGATTGTCAACAAAAGAACTCCCCTCCAATTGTCTTAGAAGAAGATTCCTAACGTAGGATAAGGTAAAATTTTCCTCCAAGCAGTTCGAACAATGGGGATCACCATGGAGGCAAGGTTTCACGCTTTCGAGTCCACTAGCAATCGCAAGTACTGAGTTCATAACATACACGATTTTATCCCAAGGGAAACGCTGCAAGTAAAGGAAATTACTCTGAGTAAAATTTTCAGGTCTGTACCTGTTGGCCGCAAGCCCTTTAAAAAATATTCCTGAAATGTCCGCCGATACCTTCTTGATGTAACTTCCAAGTTCGCCCAAGTCTTCCGCTGGCGTGGAGATCCAAAGTGAGCCATCGATTACAAATGTATTGTCAATCCGCGGTATGTTGATTCCAATCCATATCCTTTTAGTCAGATTTTTGTTCCTGATCTCGTCAAGAATGTGAGCAACATAATCATCACTTCCCAAAAGGACGCTTACGGTTACAGTTGCGCGCCTTTTGATTTTGAAAATTATACCTGGAATTTCGTCATACGAGCCAGCCACCTCGTCGATCGCAACACATATGTTGTGGTACTTAAGTTCTTGCTTTAGGTCTTGGGCGATCTCAAGATACGAACCCTCTTCTCTCGAGGAAACTATATTGATACAGGACCATCTAAAGTAGGCAATGATAGCGGCTAGAGAAATTGCGAGATGTCCGTTGGAGGGGCAGGTGCGAAAAAAAGTATTGTACATGGAACTGTCGTTAAGAAGTGAACTGGAAGCGCCATAGCTGACCTGCAAAAAATAGAAAATTAACTCAGAAACTTTATCATAGTCTTCAAAATTCGCTACTTTAGAAACGAAAGGAAAACTCGAGCCGAAATCTGTCCCGCACTTGTTACTGGGATCGTTATTAAGGACGCGCCGGTCAGTACTAAAGTGATGACATCATAAAAATGAAATTTCTGAAATTATGGGATTTGTCAGGATATTCTAAAAGAACAATGTCCAAGAGGCCTACTTAGGAAAAATGAGCATTTCGGGGCAAATTGTTGGCGAGATGTTAGCCGCTTATACCCAGAAATTAAACTCCATACAAACCCTTCTACTTTTTGGGGGGTCGACCCAAAAAAAATTTAGAAGGGTTTGTATAGAGTTTTCTAAGCATAACTGGGCTACGCTCTCAGAGACAATATGCCCCGAAATGCTCATTTTTGGCAAGTAGGCCTCTTGGACATTGTTCTTTCAGAATATCCTGACAAATTCCATGATTTCAGAAATTTCATTTTTATGACGTCACACTTAAGTACTCCATTTCTTTTTTCTTTTTTCGTTTTTTTTTTTCAGTCCCTAGAAACAGTCCCTGAGTCGTCCCAGAGGTACTTTCCGAAAGCTAAATCGGTCCAGATTCTCTCGTTTTTAAAGAGGGGAAACCAATAGTGCTTCCAAAAAAAGTACTGTAACACAGTGCTGAACAACTAGCTAAAAAATCGGAGTGAATATATGCGTTTTCAAACGAAAACGAGAAACACACTAGTGTGGAAGGGGCCTCCGATTTGTCCAACATGGCGCACAATTTAAAATTGTGTTTGCGAGGTATTTTCGGATTGAATAAGTGAATAAGTTTCACACGAGCTGTTACTGAAGTACGGAAAAGACGATTTGGATACGAAAAATGTTCTTGGCGAACGGACTTGAAAAAGTCATCACTACGAATGACTCGCAGTCTTGCAAATGTCTACGCGATTTTTAAACTAATTTTATGTATTAATTCATTATCATTATATATAAGTTTTTCTTTTTGCAAGTAAAGGTCTTGAAAAAGTTTAGAAATAGCTGTTAACAGGGACTGTAAAGAAGCGGGGGGAGGCCGAATATCCTCCGGCTTATCTCTTTTACCCCTCTCCCCTCAAAACTGAGATCATCAATAAATTGCATACAATCCAAAGAAAGGGAACCAAAAAGAGTAATAAGCCATGTCGAGAAGAGCATCTCTTTTCAATTATCCATTATCTCAGATGTAATACCAGTCATTAAAGAGGGGGTCTTTGCAGCCATGTAATTTCAAATAAAACTGTCATTGTGTTGCCATTTATTTATAGACACTGATACAAAAATAAAATTGAAACACAACACACCAACCAGTAAACAGGAAACACTTAATTTTGGAAAAAGTAAAACACATCAAGGATTTTTTTTCTTTTTCATACCAATGAATATGATTATTATATAACATTCAAACGAAGAAGAGTAAACAGAAAATATGAAATTTAAAAATGACACAAAATACTTCAAGGATTTTTCTTCCTTTCTAGACAAATATTTTTTGATTATATCATCAAATTCGAGACATGAAGAGTGGCGAAATATAAACGTAAAAAATGAAACCAAATCTCAGCGCATGCTCACAGTGTGTTGAGTTCATCTGTCGATCGGGGAAAGAAAAGAAGAAAGAACAGGAAATGTTTGGCTAGGTGCGCGCAGAAACGTTTTTAAAAATTGTTACATTGTTACATATTTTACCTAGCAAAATCTATTATAGACGTACTCGTAAGCTCCTTACATGATAAACTAAAATGCTACTACTAAGAATAAAAAAAAAATACAAGAAATAACATTACAGTGAAAAAATATAGTCAGAGATGATGGTTTTAGATTTTGCAGTTGAATCTGTGGTTAAATAGTGAGATGGCAAACCATCCCAGTCAGTGTTAGTTCTCGGCCAGAAGCTGTATTTGTACGCGTCACAGGATGGCTGAAGTGGAATAAAGTTTAGTGAATGAGATGCCCTGGTTTTTGGGGAGGACTCGGTGATGTTGTACATGTTAGGGGATATCAATAGCGGCCTGATTCACTGGTAAAGCATTTGCACAAACACACATTTTCGTTATTTCATGCTCCACTCGTTTTGTCAGTGTTTTTTTCTGATTTTGTTTTCTAAACAGTAATACGCATGTTAATACAAAGAAAAAAAACATCATTAACTTTCAAACAATAAGAAAAGAGAATATTCTAGACGCAAACAAACGACGCCAAAGCCATTTACACACATAAACCCATGCTGACAGGAAAATCAACGCGCGTTTTAACATTTAGAGATTTACAACCTTAAGATCACTTTAACACAGGAAAGACAATTACCATGATCATTTAAATGACGCTTATACTTATTAATGACAGCGAAAATTTCTCGAGGTTTTAAGTGTCTTTTAAGGCACATCAAGTCCTTTTCAAATTGCAGCACTGAGAACGCCATTAATACAGCCAACAATAAGCCAAGATAATTTGGTCGGCCGTTTAACCGGGTAGGGTCATATTATGAGGCGACAGGATGTCGAATGAAACACGAAGCTGAGTGTTTGATACAGCCTCTCAAATGAACAATAATTCTTGAAAACATTCAAAGCGAGAGTCCGAAAAATTTGAGTAATTAAGATCTGATGTCAACACCACCATAAGGGTAATGACTTAATGACTTGTTAGTATTGAGAACGCGCTTTTAAAGCTCGTTTTATTGTGGTGCGTATACACCACGGGGGGTACTTTAGGAATGTTTGGGTGGGGATGTGCCGCAGGCACCCTTGAACCCTTAACCTATACCAGAGCTAGTTCAGCTGAATTTTGCTACCCTATACTAGAGTAAACTCCCCAAATCCCCCTATCCTGGAGTAGCAGTTTCCCTGGTCTAGATAAAATCTTCAACCAACTGATCAGTTTCCTGAAAAATGTTACCCTATTCTAGACCCAAACGCTCTGATTTATATATCCTATCCTAGAGTAAACTGCTTGAAAACCATTACCCTTCACAGCGGCACATACCCATATAGCCCATATATGGCAATACCCCCCTGGGGTATACACCACCATAAAGTTTAAAATATTTTAAAGAAAATCTTAAGTTCCTTAATTACAGTCTCTCAAACAGAAAAAACATCCCCTTCTTCGCCAGTTCAAATATATGTAATTTCATGAGTTAAATATATTTGGATAAAGAGAGGATGAAAATAGTTAGGATTAACAAGTGCAAAAAAATACCGTGTGTAGATAAAAAATATTTTCGATATAATAATTGAACTGATAAATGAATAAAAAACCCCAATTCCGGTGTCACTTTCAATAAGTTCATGTAATTACACAGACGTATATAGAATTTGGAGAATACAGATTGTGATAAACAGCCGGTATAAACTAGTCATTTCCACGTAACATTTATTTTATCTTCATAGCCGTATGCCAATAAAGAAATAGACCTTTTTACCGATACGGCGGCCATATTGAATTAATTCGGTTTAAGGAGTATTATAGGATGCCAAGGAGGGCATGAGCACGATCCGTTATACTCGCTTAGTGTTAGAAATATGGTCTTTCACTGTAGATTTCTCGGGAAAAAGGCGATCATTATTACGTCCAACACTGCATAACGACCTTTTTTGCCATTACAATCTTATTCTAGGAAACTTTAAGAAAAAATGCCCCGAAAGGTGCGCGTTAATACTAAGCGAATATATCGGAATGTGCTCATGCCCCCTGGACATCTCATAATGCTCCTTAAATCTAACTAATTCAATACGGCAGCCGTATCGGTAAAAACTGAGTCTATTATTGTTTTCGTTGAAAATACTAATAATAATTATAGTTGCTGGTAGACCCTGATAGGAGTGACACACTATGGCCCTGGAATCAGATTTAAAAACCTGGGGCTGTGTCACAAAATGTATCAAAATTCAAACATTGCAAACTGCCACCAAATTGACTGAAACATTAAAATAACCGCTTAAAAAGTTAGAGAAAGGTATAAATGACAAAGCAAATACAAAAAGAAGCACGGATGGATAAACTTGAAGAAGATTGAAGCGGATGTTGTTTGTAACGATTGATATGATGCTTGGGAGACATTTTGTTTGACACAAAACTGTGCTTTTGTCCTTCACAGGTAATATCTCTAGTTTTATAGCCAATAAGGACGGGTACCTGGTATTTTAAACAAAATGAACTAGACAGACTACGATCGTTAAAAACACGTCCAACGATGAAGACTATTGTAACATGGAAGCAAGCACGCAGCGCTCGTTGCCACAAGTGCATAGTGATATGGTAGCTTCGAAGAGGTAAGTTAAAAACTATGCAGGCTCTAATCAATTTAAATAATTTCATATTCATGCTCAGGTACGAAAACGAGTGTAGTTAAAAGATACGAGACATATTGCTTTTATCCAAAAAGTTTATACAAAAGATAATAATAATAACCCTGGACGTACGAGCTTGGAGCGCGGTCAACGAGGACAAAATAAGGTTGACTCAAACTCTAAATTGTAAATCATTGCAAACGGAAGGTTGGTGAGAAGTCATTTGCATCGAATGAAGAAACTCGGCGGGAGCTGAGTTATTGGCTTATTAATTTTTGTCATCTGAATGGCCTCTCTGTATGACATGGGTCGATTGATACTAAAATTTACATACGGGATCAAAATCATTTCCAAAGGACAGAAAAACTCCTCTCGTTTTGAATTAGTCTTACAGAACAACAACGCGGGCAACAAAGCGTAATGGCTACTTCTCTGGTTTAAGCAAAAGTAAATCGCAGCGCTCGCCTCAATGGTCAGAATTTTTTAGATAAATTTACATCACAAATTACAAAAATAACCACCTGACCGTAGCTTACTCACTACATTTTCAAGCCACAATCAACTGTTCGTTTATGATATTTTAAAAAAAAAACCCGATTAATTTTCTTCTTCTTTTTCCTTTCTTTAATAGCAGTATTGTAAGTCAATCTCAACGGGACTCTTTAAAAATAAGAGAAGTCATATTTAATGAATAGGAAACGGGAAAGACGTGACTTGAATGACATCCTTATTCACTGCCTACTTATAATAAAAATGGAAATAGATATAAAAGTCACAAAATTATTTTAGAGAAGCAACAAAGGGCGACAAACCAGAAAAGGGAATACTTAAAAAAGAAAAAAAGCTCCATAGCTTTCATATGTAAATTCATATTTCACAATATTGATCACCGAACATTACCGACGCTTTTGTCACGAAGAGGAACAGAGAGTATGATCGCATACTTTCCTCAAGGCTGGGTGGTGATGCTAGTCTCGACTAGCCCGCTTCAGGATTAAAAAAAATCCCTTTTCCCACTCTCTCTCAGTTCTTCAAGGACCCGATGGTATAGAACTGGTCTTCGTTGAAATGTATGCACCCGTGTCGTTCGTGCACAAGACACGAATAGCGCTAGGATCAATTTGGAAAACTGGTTGTAACGAGGGAGAGAGCGAACCGATACTTCTCATTCAGGATGATAAAAAAACGATATATTATGAAAAAATCTAGACCCTCGTAGGAGCATTGAGCAACCATTTCGTGCGCGGCGGAGGGTGTTCTTAGCGTGTTATAGCGTGATATATTTGCATGAAACGTGGGGAAAACAACCTTCTCCCGCCTACACTGAAATGGCTTTAGGCAATCTAACCAAGAGGAAGAAAGACTCGTCACTACTTCAAAGCCTCTATTTCTACTGTAAACAACTTATATGGTAATAAGAAAGGTCGCGCCCCTGCTAGAATAGAAAAGGCTTGTTGATAAATTAGACAGACCAAAATGACAACATTTTTTTAAGTATGGAGCACTCGCTGTCCAAAACTTCCGATTTTATGGAAATAAGCACTTCGAAAAACAAGTCATTAGTTTCTCTTGTTAGATTTAAAAAGTATATGATCTTAAAAGCGCCGTAATGACACAAAAAAGTGTAGCTTCTGCTAATCCACAAAATGAAAAGAAAAGAAAAATTTGAAAAACGCCACTGGAAACGATCTTTGTTTGATAGAGTGACATTATAAAATCCATCTGTTAAAACAGTAATCGAAATACATTTCGCGGTAGCTGAATAAAAGAATTATTTAAATTTGCACAGACTGCATTTCGTGTTTGTTAGCTGACAAAATCATCAAAATATTAATCAGAGATAATCGGATAATCGTTCATCCGAGCCGGAAGAATTGTTGGATGAAATATTATGTGAATGGTTCTGATTTACAGCGGCCCCAGAAATTTCCAGTTTGATTTGTATTAGCTCCCTTTCTTATTCCAACAAATTTTTTCTTGAAAAAAAAAAACATGCATATATATATCGGTTATTAAACCGTTCATAAGTAGTTTAAAAATTGCCTCGGAGTAAATCCTCTTCGCAGGAATAATCTAAGACTTCTTGAAGCGAAAATTAAAAAGAAAACTTCTTGCAAAAAAATGATTTCTAAAACATTTATGCCCTCAAGTTTTGTTTCCTCGCCTGTCAAAATTGCGACCGTGCAGAGTAACATATTGCATGTTCCAATTCCTATTTTGAAATCAACAAATTAAAATTAAATGTAGTGTGACCCACTCTCCCACTCAAGAACAGCTATCTTGTAAAAGTGAAAGTAGGATGACCAAATCCAAGTAAAACGTTTTCAAAAGGTGCCAAAAGTTTAACACACATTCAACATAAAATCATAAAAGCTACAACATAACTTAAATTTCTGTTTTTACAGATGTTTTCTAGTAAAAATGCTATGCAAATGTTTCATTGCTTGCATGTAAAAGACTGAATTTGCTACTACTTTTGTTTCTCGCCGACACCTGCCTCCGGCCAGTGTATTAAATGAAATATCTCAAACCTCGACATGGCGGATAAATGCGTTACAGATCAAAAACTTTTTATCTTGGGTTCGCTACTTATATCTAAGAATCTGAATAAAACTCCACCAATGTGAAGGTGCTCTTGTTGTTAGCTGATCTTTTTCGTGTGTTCTTCTGAAATTTTATGGTTAGTGACAAATTAATCTTGCATGCAATACGTATCACGCTAGAACACAATAATAAATACATATAAGTCCACATAGTTTTTAGCCAAGCCTTAAAGCGAAGGTCCTACTTATCACTTACTTTCAGTCAAACTGATAAACTTTGAACATGCAAAGAAATTCGCAGCTCTACTTATAAAAAAGAAAACTTTGACTCTCTATTCCCCCCAAGAGCTTTAAAGTTTTATCTGAACACTTAAAATTGGAGCACAGCCAAGCTGACACTGTATGAAAAACAAAAACACGCACAACGGCTACATTTCTCTTACTTGTGGTACTCCATACATGCTCAATAGTGGACTGATCGCGAGCGCACTCTTGCTTGATTGAGGGCCAACAACTGCAATCACCCCACAGCTATTTCCAGCCTTTGACAAAGAGCAGTTTTTCCTCGAAGAGCCTTCACTTTTGCCAAGTATGTCCAGGAGCTCTCTTAAAGCGACAGCAGGGATTGAACAAGTGTCTCTAATATCGTAGCCAATAGAACCACCAGGGAAACTTGACTCGTTGTTCTTCGCGTTCACAGTGTGCACGAAAGCTTCCACAAGAAGCAAACCTTCTTCTCTTACAATATCGCATCTTGGACCTTCCGTTATCGGAAAAAGAGCTCCAACAATAAAATAACTGTCTTGAAATCTCCTCCATCGCGAACGCAAATTGAACGTCGTTTCCACGGATAAACAGGATACAACGGCGAACAGACAAAAGGCAACGGTGTTCATTCCAACTACGTAGCTAGAAAAAAACAAGTATTTCTTTGAAAGCCTTCTTTTGAATTATGTAAGAACGAGTATTTCTTTGAAAAGCTTTCTTTTGAATTATGTAATGATTATCTCTTTGAAGTTCATTAATTTATTCTCGCGCAGGGTGTTTTGCCTGTCAAGTCATTAATCCTGCGAGAAGAAACAGTAACTGCAACATCAATCGTGAAATTTTTGACTAGAATTCTTTTTCTTCAAACCAAACTACTGGTTAAATCTTGAGAAAAGTTCGTGCAAATTGCAAAGAAACGAAAAGAAAAGACGAAGAAAACTCTTCCTTATCTTGAGTTGAGGCGTGAAGAAATGTTAAGAATATTTTTTGTAACGTCTCACAGTATCGTCAGATAGAGGAGCCATGATCTCGTGAAGACAGGAAAGAAACTCGCCAACAAGCACTGTACGTTCTTTGTTGCTTGAAATTGGATAAGTTCATTGTTTGCGAGTCGCTGCTTAGCGATTTTTAGTAATTGCTGTACTTTGCCACTCTTCTTGACCCCAAACAAACACAGAATGCAACCTACCGGTGGTGCGAGCCTATTACGGCTCATAAAATGACTCAAGAAAGCTTAGAAGTGTTTGCATATATAAAAGATTGGGCTGGAAATAAACGAGGCAGGTGTTCCGACGACGGAAACAAGCACGGCAAACCATTGTAGGCAGAAACGTCAAAACAAGTTAGTTTGAGAGAACCAGTGGGAAAACTGTCCAATGAAAAAGTTTGGCAAAGACGTATACTGCCAAAGATTGGGTTTCAGATATTAGTTTCCTTATATTATTACGTAATTAATGAGTTTTTCATGTCGGTGCGCTATGATTGATCGAACACATCGATGTCGTGTTGTCGGAGCTACAGTTCACAGGCTTGACTACGGCAGGGGGGGGGAGGGGGTACTCAACAAAGTTTTCTGCGGAGAGGCTCCGCTCCGACGTCCAGACTCGTAACCTCGGCTATTAGGTAGCCCTTTCGTTTATCTTTTATTGACAAATGGTACCCCTCGTAAAGAACTTTAAATCCCTATAACTACTGTAAATTCGCTGTCTATTAAATATGTAATCACAAACCAGAACGTTTTCCCAACTTTTTCCCATCCACAAAATGCATCTGTTCGCCATTTTGGGCCTGTTTACAGACCGAATTGACAGATTTTCGTCTCAGCCCATCATATACTTCAACAAGTGAAATCCCTACCATACAATATACCTGAAGCCTGAAAAGGGTACCCCTTTCGGGTTGAGTCTCCCCGTGCCGTGTAGGCCATTATAGGGAGTATCCCCCCCCCCCGGGAATTGACGTAAGAACGAATTTATTAGTCACTACCAAAGGGAAAAAAAAAGTGGTTTCCCAAGCCTGAGGTTAGTATGTGTCTATAGGAAATCCTGACAACTGTTAGCAAAGGTGCAGGAAATAATCTTGGGCGCTTGTATATTACGTACATCAGACTATGAATATAGATTTTTTGCTTTAAATCTCTCTCAATGTTACGTCACAACTTTGTTTTAACAAGAACACGTTGAAATGTACTTAGAAATGCTCCAGCGTAGACATTGACATTAAGAATAGATACTCTCAACAGCAACAAATGCGTTGAAGGGAGCTTGAAAAGCGAATTAGCACTGCTTCGAACTTGATCGCGCTTATTTCATCTCGTTCATTTCAAAAAATGTTGGCAAATTTTTCAGGAGTTGAATTCTGAAAGACTGTATCGAAGTTCAGCAAAACAAAGAGCCATTGTCTTGCATTCACGTCCTCGACAAAACGTGAAATTAGGCAGTTTGACGTCATAGTCATGCAGTGACGGCAAAGAAATGTACAAAAAAAGAATGATGCATATGAAAGGTTGTTCTTTTGACAATCTCAGGGCCTGTTTACATGGAAGTGGGGGGCCCCAGGTAGGTGAGGTAACCCGCTTAGGTGGGGTAAAAAAAAATAATTCTCCTTTACATGCAACCTTACAATCCCGCCATCGCGGGTGTACGTTCTCGAGATTATTGATTGGTCGTTAAGCACGTAAACAAGAAAAAATACTGGAAAACCACGTGTTTTGGCGATTAATGCTCTTCAACACTCACTTGCTGCTCTTGTTGCAACCTTCAGTGCTGTGGCTTTTTATTGTTGCCTTTCATAATGATACAAAACCACCGCCAAAGTGAATTTTGCGCAAACTTAATTCATCACGAATCCGCCCTCGGCTAGGCGGGTTACCCCACCTTGAAACGTTTACATGGCAAAATTTGACCCCGGATGAAAGGCTTGCCCGGTCTGGCAGACTAGGCTACCCGCCTTGGCGGGTCACCCTACCTAACATGCAAACGTGATCAAATTAAAGTTAGAGATTATATGGACAGGCGGGTTACCTCACCCACCTGGGGTCCCCCACCTCCATGTAAACAGGCCCTAAACCTATTGCTTTTTCGTCGTTCTCGTTGCCTCTCGTTGCCTACGAAAGCGACCACTCGCCTGCGTCCGCTTAACGGCGCTTTACCACAGCTGTCTGACTCATTAGATTAATATTGCCGTCAGTAGTGCGTCTTCATTCGCTGAGAAAGTTAACTTTAGCGGGGAAGTTACTTGTAACTGACAACATCACAGCTTCGTATCAGACAAATATCTCTCCCGAAGCTATATCAAACGTTACAAAAAACAAAAAATGACCTTTTAGGTTAGTTTAACAAGTTTTCAAAAAGCGCAATTGCAATCCGTTTTAATCTTCTTCAAGTTTGTGACAAATGTATATGAAATAAATCAGCTCGGTGGCTTCATTGGTTAGAGCATCGCACGGGTATCGCTCGGTCACGGGTTCAAATCCCGTTGAGGTACTGAATTTTATCTTTTCTTTTTTTCTTTTTTTTTTTTCAGGCTTCTTACGCAATTGCGTTCACAGCTGCGAGAATCATCCGATCATTCTTCATTTGACGTCTTCGAGTTTGCCCATCGGTGCCTTCTTTTGTTTTTGCTCTGCTATGGAGCGGTTATTTTTTATTTTTCACTCAGTTTGCTGGCAGCTCTCACTGTTTGAGCTTTAAAAATTTTTATGACACAGCTCCTTTAACCGTTTAAGTCCCAAAAGTGACTAACATCAATTTTCCCCAGAGTCATTAAATTGGTTTCGTAAAATACCCGGGAAAGATGAAGATGAAACAATCAGGGTTTTCGTTTGAGGCCGGAGGCCGGAGGCCGGACGTTTCCTTCGGTCGTTTTCCATTCTATGTCCGGTACTTTGATGCTAAAAGTTGAGGGGTTTTTTTAATTTTTTGTTATTATTATCATTTATTTTTTTTACTTAAGCCACTCATAAACTTACTGTCATTTCCCCTCCACGTTCCCCTACCAAATGTCAAATTTATTTTCAGAATTTGAAAGAACTCCAGCCCTGCCTGGGAATGACTGATTCTTGGGTTCCAGAATCGCTGGAAACAGTGTTCCTGAGTGTTCTATTATAAAAATTTCCTGGGGAAGCATGCCCCCAGATCCTCCTAGATAGCTCGTACCTTCGGCGCTCGTAAGAAAAATTTCGAGTCCGGTGCTTTCAGATATATATCCGGAACTTAAAAAAACTGTCGAAAACCCTGAACAATGAGTATATGAATTTCATGTATTAGAACTGCGGGATATAGAAATAAATGTAGAAAAGATCATCGCAGTTACAGACACAAATTATGCCGAGTTGCGAAAGAGAGCCTGAAAATTCAGGCTCGCCGGTATTCCAACCCTGACCTCTGGCGACAAACACAGTTGGTCAGAATGAACGAATAGTGTTCCTGAACTAAAACTTTGGAATCCTTTTAGGGTCGACAATTTTTTTCTTTTTTTTTTTCATCTGCGTAAATACAAAAGCGTTGTTCATGTTTTGTTGTTACAGACTTCCTTTTATTGTAAGATGTTGCACAAAAAAGTATCTTGTGACATCATCTGCTCAAGCTGCTGACACTTGTGACACAAACAAAAGTAAATGCAAACACAGATATCAAAACGAATCAAGAATGTTTCTGGACTAAGTTGAGAATTTACTTTATCACGCCGTTGGTAACCTCACTTTCTGACTTTCACTCTCGACCAACACAAAGAAACAGTTTCTTTAGAAGCTACAATCGGTGAGGAGCAAAATTGTAGAAACACTGTCCCCAAATAGGGTAATCTCGGCAAACAAAACAATCCACATTCCTCCCCCTCACCTCCAAAGTTGTTTCCTACAGGCAGCTCGAGCAGCGGCACAACATTGCATGAATGGAGGGGATGGGGAGAAAAAAAGCTTCATTTTCACCGGTTAGTTTTAAAGAGAATAAATAGTATAGTCATAATTTCTTGTTGCTGCGTTTTTAAAATGAGACAGGGAGAGATAGCTCACCGCATAAGTTTTTTGTAGACGGAAAAGAGAGAAAAACTTGTGTTGACTACGAATGATTTTCATATACACTGAAAATATGTGTACACGATAGTTTATTAACGTCCACTGAACAACCTATCACGGCCAAAAAAAACTAAAAAATGAAATAATGTTTTGAGTTTTCCTCTCATTAACGTTAAAAGGTCTCATTAACTCAGTGTTCTTAAGGAACTTCAGTGAAGCTCACATGAACTCTGACTCGATTCCAGATTGATCATTAAATCAAAAGGAACTATAGTCCCTCGTCGTTGCCTAGCGACACCACTGACCAATAAAATGGCTCGGATGATCGTAAACAAAATTTTCCCCGAACGCATTTTTCATTTCTCTATATGATACCACTTACACACATAGCGTGATCGTGGATCCTTTCATTCGACAACAGCGACAGCGTGTTTCTTTCTTTCTGCGACATGTGGAACACTTCCTGGTTTACTATGCTGACGAAGGTTATCCTCCCTAAGAATGAGACAAAATAAATAAAAAACTGCTTCCAAGTTTAGTGTTGTTAAATAGAGACCTTTAGATTTTAAGACGAGGACAGCTACGCGAACGAGATTTTCGCAGTACTAAGCAGTGCGCACGCGTGAACCAGCGTAATTTGGCGTAATTTTAGCCGTCATCATTGTACTGCAGATTTTAGCGTAAAAGCCGTAGTGACGGAAACAAATTATCCAGTAACAGAAGTTTTATCTTTTTTTGATCGGGAGAGGACTTAACTTCCT